ACGAATCTGGGAAAAACCCAGAAACCACGTAAATCACCATCGCAATAACTTGAAGCCACCACGAGATATTCCCGGCCATGGCTGCACCCAGTAGACCGAGCTCGAGCTTGGTCACCAGAACCCAGTTCAACAAAACATGACAACCCAGGCAGACGACAGAGATTACGGTCATGACCCAGACTTTGGTCTGAGATTGAAGGAACCTTTGGATCGGGAAATTGATAGCGTAAGCAAAGAACTGAGGGATCACCATCCTGCAATATTTTCCGGCGAGTTCCGCGATAGCCTTGTCTTGTCGTAGTAGGTTTAGTATCGGTGTTGCGAGGAGGTAACATGGTGTTAGACATAGAGCGGTTATTCCGGTTATGATCCATGATCTTTGGAGATAGATTCCGAGCATGTTCTTTTGTCCGGCGCCGACGGCTTGACCGCATAGTGTCTCGAGTGCACTTCCCATTCCTAACTAAACAAGGACATCAGCTCAACATAACCAGTAACAGTAAATATTTTTGAGGGTGGGACATGCATATTAAAAATATAAAATTTTTGAACGGGTAGACATAAATGAAATTTTAAGTTGGCAACATCGGTAAAATAAGTATTTAACATAAAAAAATTCAGGATTGACACAATAAAATTTTAGAGTAGGCACATATGTAATTAATTGAAGAAAATTTAGATATCAGAATAGTTAGGTGTTCACCCTCAACACTAAATAGATCCTAAAGAAAATTTAGATTTTAGAATAGTCACATACCACCCTCAGCCTGAATAGATCAACCACTGAGCATAAGGATATATATGAAATATGATCATCCTAATATATGAGTCTAGCTAGGGTTTTGATGTTGCTCACCATGATACCGAAAACGAAGCCTTCGATGACATTCGTCGTTATGGTAACTGCAGCGAGTTGAAGTTCTCCCAAGTGTCCGGCGAAAGCGACGGTGACGAAACCGATGGAAAACTGAGAGACCGATACCAAAATTGCAGGGCCTGCGATCTCCCACATCTTCTTTGATTCTTCCCAGCTTTTTCTTATGATGTTTTGCTTCACCGCCGGCTCTCCTATCCTATGTCTCTCCGTTTGAAATGTCTTTACTTCTGTTGGCTTTTCTTCTGCTTCTGTTAACTCCATTTTCGCTTTCTCAGATCAAAATATCTGCAATACATAGAACTATGTATATCCATCTATATATATATATGTATATATGCTTTAATGTTTGAACTTTAGGGTTTTCTTCAATTGGAAGACATTGTGTTTTAATGTTTTATTTGCTATTCTTTTGAAGTAAACCTGCAGTGAAATCAGTTGCTTTAATAAGCAGGCAATTCCCCCTGCAAGTAATTGTTTGGTAGTTATAACATGCTCTTTAGATCGATAAACTGTAAAGAGCTGAAAATAACTCTAATTTTAGCATGGTTTTCAGAACCGGACCGGTTAGCGAACCGGTCATGCTACCAGTTCACTGGTTCAACCGGTCTGATCGGTCGGAAGATCCGGACGACGTCATAATTATTTAAAAAATTAAATAAAAATACCAAAAATATTTAATAAATTTTTTTTATATCACAAGTCATATTCAAAGCAAGTCATAACATATATAAGTTAAAAATCATAAAATCAAGTGAAACAAAATGATTCAAATTAACTACAACATAATATTTAAGGTAAAACATATTAAATAATATAATTATATAACTATAATTAAAAAATAAAATTGGGGTTAAAAAATCATAACAAAATTATATAACTATAATTATATAACTATTCTTTCACTTCAATCAAGCTCGAATTTTAGGCTTCAATCGAGCTTCTAATTTTTTTTTGAGTTCAAGTTTCAATATTATATTTTGAGTTTGAGTTGAACTTGATAATTTTTAGCTTGTGAGTTTGAGTTGAGTTGAGTTGAGCTTACTTTTAAAGTTTTCAAGTTCGAGTCGAGCTTAGCAATACTCGAGTTCGACTTGGCTCGTTTAACAAACGACGTTGTTTGGTTTATTTTTTTAAAAAATAAAACAAAAATCCCGGTTTTTTTCCGATTTTTCCCGATTTTCTGTCTGTCCGGTTCGAACGGTTCAGCGGTTCTGGCCGGTTCACTAATAGCGGTTCAACCGGTTTAGATTGAACCAGACTAAACAACGATTTCCGGTTAAACCGATTGAACCGACCGATCCAATTCGATTTTTAAAACAGAGAATTTTAGGGTTCTATTCTTTCCTAGTAGCAAAGTCAACACTCATTTCATTTTGAACGGTAGAGCAATATGTTTATAACAATCGATCATTTGGATTTTTTCTTTCTTTCTTTAGACTTTATACCGTTTTATATAGATCGAATTAGCTTTTTTTTTTTAATTTGTTTAGTGCGTCAACACCAGTTTTGATGTTGATTGTTGATCGTCAATTCTCTTCTCATTTTGTTTCTTTTTTAATTTTTTAATAAGAATAATTATGTATTTGTGGTCCGTTTTCCTATTCTTTTTTGTAGTTATTTTTATTTTATGTTTTCTCAAGGTTTGATTTGACGACGTCACTATTGATTAAGATGACGATATTTGTAATCCAGTTGATCCTCTCTACGTTGAACCTTGAAATTGAATTTGGATACGCGATTTTGCATTCGCGGATAGTTTCTAATGACGCTCGACTCTAATTTGCGGTTATCGATGATCTTTCAATAGCTTAACTCTTTTCGTGATTTGTTTATCAATACAGTCAAATTTACTTGTATTATTTTTTGTTCGAGTCTTTAACATTTTCCATATATGTGCTTATATGATCTAAAGTAGTTAGTTTCAATATTATATGCAAATATTCAAATTATGTATTTAGTTTACCATGATAGTTGTAAATCCTTATTTAATTTTAAATATTTTCATTTTTAATAAAACTAACGGATTTTGATAATAAAAAAATGAGTCACGTGTGATTCATTTTACTCTTGAATTATATTGATGAAACATTGTTTTCGCAATAACTATGGCTTCTCTTCCTTTTATCATAAGAAACAACATCGATTAATATGAAATAGTGAGTACCAAAGACTGACATTTCATCAGTGCGAACTTCGCATCTCCTCCTCCACATATCCTACCAGATTAACTACGTCAATCAGCAACTAGTTGGTGAGTCATCAAATCATCCTTCCTCAAATAAGCTCGATTCTTCAATTTTGTACTGTACATTATAACTTAAATTATAAATTTTATCCGTTTTAATACTTAAACTTTCAAAATTTTTAAAATCATATCTAAAATTTAGTTTTTGTTTTATTTTAGTACCCGCCGTTAAGTTTTGAAAAAAAATATAAAGTCTAGGTACCAAAACACATTTAGTACCTAAATCATACTTAAGTTTTGAATTTTTTAATAAAAAATTTAGGTACTAAAACGGATCAAAATTGATAGTTTAGATATTAAAACCGACTAAATTTTCTCAAATATAAATAACAAAAAACAATAGTGTTTTAATATTATATTATAAATAAAAATTTCAATCATGTATTTACATATAAATAAACATTATTAGCATATTAAAAAAAGATATAAGACTTTATTAAGAAATTGAGAAACCCTATTCTTTACGATCATGCATATTAAGAATTGTTGTTATTCATTGAGGTCTTATGTTCGAACATTATAAATATCAAGGGTGTGTAGATATTATATTGTATTTACCACATATTAATAAAAAAAGAAAAAATTATTTATGAGTTGATCTTGATATTATACTTGTTTTCTCACTTTGGTCATTAAATTTATTTTTATTTCATTTTGATACTTAAATTATGAGTTTTTCAATTTATTTTACTCAAAACAAAATATAGATATATGGGTGTCCAATGAGAAAGTGACTTTCATAGCATTCTATATAAATAACCGAACAAATTAATCAAACCATCAAAACTAAATAAATTAAATCAATTTCATTGTCTAAATTAAAACAATCAAACTAAATTTCATCTTAGTCAAATTGAAATAACCAAATAAACTGGATTATTATAATCTTTTAATTTTTAAGATTTATTTATGAAATAAAAATTGCGATTGTTGAATTAAACATATATATATATATAGTGAAATAATTGAATTAAATTACTTAAATATATGCATATAATTTATTAAGTTTATTCAGTTTAGATTCTCAAAAATAAAACCTAATAAACAAAAAGTTTTCCGTTGAATTGATTCAACTATTGAATTTAACCAATTGTCTGCTCACTGCTCTTTATTCAGTAGGTTAAGTTTGGACACTCGTAAAATTTGATATCTGTATTTTCGGGTTACAAGTACTTAGTTCATATATATATATATATATATATATATATTAAAAATCATATAAAGAATAAATAAAATTTAAAAGTTCATAACACACCATCCATACACAAAATTAATGATTTAAAGATAAATATTTGAATATATATATATATATATTAAAATTTATTTCCAAAAGAAAATATTAAAAATATTTATATCGGTCGTGATTTTTTTCTTTCGAATTTTATATTGGCAAATTAATAAAAAATTTATATTTGAAAAAAATTAAAACTTAAAAGTACATAATACAAACCTAGAGAGAATTTAGAGATTTAAATTAGTTTTAAGGTAAAATATTAAGGAACCTAAAATAAAAATATAATTTAAACTATATATATATATATATATATATATATATATTAAAACTATCAGGTCGGGTTGAGTAGCCAAATATAAGAAGATTTCTGCCTAAACTCAGTTCAACTACTTAAAAAAATCATGGTTCGGGTAAATTTTTTATAGAATTATTCCGATTTTTTAAGTCCGAGTCGATGGCTCAACCGGATTGAATATTTTTGAACACCCCTACAGTGCTCACCCTATAATATAGTATCAAATTGGAATAAAAAAGTTTTGATACCAAAACGAGAAATAGACATAATTCAAGGGTTAAGTTTTGATTTAAATCTTTTGTTAATTGGATACAAAGCTCTAAAAATCTAGTCTGATGTTTAAGGAAGCTATTCCTAATCAATGGCGGATCTAAACCACGCTTTCACTGAGATCGGGCAATTCCCAGTACCTTTGTCGTGATTTTTCACCTTCGAGATTCGAGCCCAGTTCTCTATTCACGCTCAAACTCAATCTATCTTCGAGGAGGAAGAAGAAAAAAATCCAGAGAAATGGAAAAGCTGAAGAAGAAAATAGGATCGATTTCGTTTTGGAAATGGGTGATAGCTTCAATCATCTTCAGATTGATTCTAATTTACTTCCCCAAAAATCTCAATCTGTCCTCTCGTCCCGAAGTTTCCACTCCGCTCACCAGCTTCCGCCGCTGTAATATCCTTTTCCTTCATTATAGAATCAATTTCCTTCTTCTTTTTACTTGTTTTTAGCTTAATTTTCCCTTTTTGAATTTTATTGGGTGCAGTGGCTGAAGGTTACTGGTTAAAGCAGTCGTCTATGTCTCCTTATGCAGGTTTTCATCCTTTTTCTTTGCCCAACATTTTCATTTTTTAAAAAAATCTTCGTATTAGTTCGATAAGAAAAAAGAAATAAAGAAGAAAAGTACTTGATTTCTCTCTGGGTTCATGTTTATCAGGATCTATGTACCATGGTACACCTTTGTTATTGTCACTTCTCGGACCTCTTACCGTTAAGAGGTGCCCTTCAGCTCATTGATAGACTTTAACCTATTATTTGTCGGGGGGGGGGGGGTTAATTTACAGTTCTTAATGATTTAAGAATTTTTTTGGGTTGGTTCAGAATTGAAGGACAGCCTAATCATCTTTTGTACAGGTAGAATCTTTTCTTTTTACTGGTTTTGATGTGTTTGAACTTTAAAATTCTATTTGAGGCAAAACGTAGAATAGATTCTTTAGTGGACTTTAGAGCATGTCATTGTATTTTCTTGAATGATTGTTTATTTGTTTGCTCATGCAGTTAATACCTACACATTTTTGGATACAGTTTGGTTTCTGTGATTGCAGATGTTGTTAGTGCAATGCTTATTCGTGCTAACGGACAGAATCTTCAGCTTGCCTATCTCCGTACTTTGGGATCGTTAGACCTTGTTAAACAAATAGAAGGTTCAGGTAAATTCTTTACTTAGCATTTTTAGTAAGAGGGAAAATAACAGACTTCTGTATGCGTTCTTAATGAAATTATAGTTAATTGCATGTCTAATTCCTCTCCTTTTCTTGTCCGAAGCTAATGAACATAGTTATTGTTTTTCAACCAGAGCTCCACTCTTCGGGGGACGTTGCTGCCCTTATCTACTTATGTAATCCTTTCACAATAGTTGCATGCGTGGGCTTGTCAACATCGCCAATTGAAAATATGGTTGTTATTTTGTGCCTTTATGGAGCATGTTCACGTAAGAGACTTTTAAAAGCGGCAATATCCCTCCTGATTGTTGATTGCTGTGCTTCTCTGTGTATGTGTGTACGTTAATTTTCTTTGAACACTATTCTATTTGTCTTGATTTCTTCCGATTCTTGGGTGAGATTTGCCACTTTATTATTGAGAACTGCATTCTCTAATATCTTTTGAATGGTTGTACACCAAAGAATTGGAATTCATGCTTCTGGTGCTTCAAACCCTTAGTATCTGATTCTTCTATAACTTATGTTCATTGTTTCTATATCATATTCTTATTCTGCTTGTTAATCATTAGACTTTAATTTGGAGTTAAAATGATATGGATGTCGACTATCTACATATTTTTGGAGTGTCCAACACAAGTATCCTCAGAACTTTTTGCATCCAAGATAGATACTCATGCATCATACATATTTACACTTTTTATGATAACCTGTCTTTCACAATAAGATTTTCAAGTACTTATAGTTTTTTAGGGTAATTATTTGGTTTAATTAGGGTTCCTAAAGTTTCCACCAGGGTAACTCAAAATGCATAAAAGTGTTGGGGTTGAGAGACATCTCATTGTTAATTGCAACTTGAGAGACACAGAACGGTATATATTTTTTCTCTTTATATCATAAACATGGGCAACATTTCATTTGTTTTGGATAGGTTTTGTAGCTATTTGTTGAGTAAGTGTTTATATGTGTGCTGCTACATTTTAATGTTGCTATAAATGGAAATTTTTTAGATATTTCTACTTTTGGATCATCGTCTGGTGAAAATTTTTCAATGCTTTTATCTGTTGGGATTAGCAGCTATCAACATGTATATGGATTTAGTGTGTATTTTGTACCTTTCTTTCATAACTTTCTACTCAATAGTGATCTTTCTGGATTGCAGGACTAATTCCCTTGGCCGCTTTTGGGTGGGTCATTGCAACTCATTTGTCTCTTTATCCTGCTATTTTGATCATTCCGGTACTGCTTTCTTTTGTATCTATCCGTATCCATAGAATTGCTTAACGTGCACAAGATAGTTTTTTTTTTTTTGATAGGAATAAGATGCCTCATTAAAAACCTCCCTCTAAGAAGTCCACTGCCCTAAGGCAAGGACCCTCTAGTGGAAGGAGGAAAAGAGTACATCATTTTATTAATGATAATACAATAACATAAAATTTAACAACACTCCTACAAAAATACATAAGACTTGATACACTCCTGCAAGACCTCCCCTCAAAGACATACAACCCAACTAAAAGCAGTACAATCAGCCAATCCCCTCCTTCGTTAGCTTGTCCGCCTCACAATTACAACACCTAGGAATCCACCTGATAATGAACTGATTTCCAGAAACAGCAGACGCAATCTCCTTCACAAAATTAGACAAGTAAATAGGGACTGAACTCTGATCTTTAATCCAATCCACTGCTGTCTTTGAATCACTTTCAATAATGAGCCTACCCTTCGAAGCCCAAACAGATGAAACAAAGATGTCAATGCCTTTCTTGATAGCCTTCAATTCTGCTAGGATAGGAGAATTAGGACCTGCATTTACTGAAAATGAAGACAGAACAACCCGATTCCAGTCCCTTAGAATTCCCCCAATACCTGCCACCATCCCCACACTACTCACCGCCCCGTCCACATTCATCTTAAAGAAATCCAATGGAGGAGGAATCCAGCAGACCACACTACTGTCCAAAACCTTAGAGTCTGAAAGGTTGTTAGCCACAGAGGGGTCCCCAATTAAGAAATCAACCTGAGTTGAAAAAAATGGATACTTGACTACAAACCACTTAGCTACTCTGAATCGAACCGTGAAAAACAAAGAGATACTGTCCAACTTTCCTTTGTCGAAGATGATCTCATTCCTTAACTTCCAAATGGACCAAAAAACTACCCCTGGAATAAACTTCCATATAGCAGAATATGGCCTCAATTCGGCCCATGAACTGAGTAAATTAGGAGGGTCTTGCGGCAGAGCAAGCCGAATACCCCAATACCCAATAATTTTTATCCATAGTTCCCAGGATACAAGACAATGAATAAAAAGATGCTGAATAGATTCAGCCCCTTGATTACAAAACGGGCAGAGAATGTTCTCCCCTAAATCAACCCCCCTTCTCAACAACTCCACTCTCACGGCTACTTTTTGATGTGACAATTGCCAAAGGAAAGTCTCCTCTCGAGGAGGAACTAAACCCTGCCAGACGACTTTTTTCCACTGAACTGAGTCCTTAAGAGGGACAAACAGAGCATTCCTGCACGCTTTAACAGAAAACTGCCCATCACCCAAACCAACCCACAACAAACAGTCTTCCAAAGGCTCTATAGGTTTAATATTTTTTAGGGTGTCCAACAACTCAACGAACTGCTCAACCTCCCAATCACAAAGGTTCCTCCTGGTCTTGATATTCCAAACCCATCCAGACGAATCGAAACTCCCAAAATTAGCTACCTTGCCCATTTTATTTGATGAAAGGGCATATATTCTAGGAAACCGAAGTTTTAAAGGGAAATCCCCTATCCATGTATCACTCCAAAAAGAAATAGATTTACCATTACCTATTTGAAGCTTAGCATGAGATCTAAGGCAACCTCCAATGACGCCCTCCTTTAAATAGTTATTCACAATTCCCCTCCATATCCAAGAGTCTTTACGAAAGCAAGCTCTATTAATATCCATGGATTGACAGCTCACATTGTGTTTGCTACATAATAGTTTCTTCCACATCGAATTCTTGTCATTGGCAAACTTCCAAACCCACTTGCCCAACAACGCTCGATTTGTAACCTTCAAATCCACCACTCCCAATCCTCCTCCTCTCAACGGCTTACATACATAGTCCCAGCGCACCCAGTGCATTCTCTTTTTGTCTCCCCTACTCCCCCATAAAAAATCCGACATCAATGAATTTAACCTCTGACAAATAGAAGAAGGCATCTTAAAAATAGAAAGGTAAAAAATAGGTAAGGATGACAACACCGACTTTATTAATACCAATCTACCAGCCATAGATAAAGAAGCAACTTTCCAACCCGCCAATTTCTTATTAAAATTGACAATAACCGGATCCCATAACTTCTCCGAATTCGTTTTCGCCCCCAAAGGAAGGCCTAAGTACTCCGTGGGAAATGAGCCAATAGAACAACCAATCTCCTTAGCCCAATCTTCAAGGATGCCACTCTCCACATTAATTCCGAAAAGTTTACTTTTGGCTAAGTTTAGATGGAGCCCCGTCATTAAGCTGAAAATCCTCAAAATTCTTCTAACATTCATAATCTGCGTAATTGATGCTCGGCAAAAAATAATTAAGTCATCTGCAAACTGAAGATGGGACAAAGAGAATGAATTTTGATTTTTACCAAAGGAGAAACCTTCGAACAGACCCGAATCCACTGCTTTAGTCAACATCCTATGAAGTCATTCCCCGACCAAATTGAACAACAGAGAGAAAGGCTACACCCTTGCCTCAAGCCTTTAGCAATAGGAAACTCCTTAGTAGGAGACCCATTCACTAGAACCGAAATAGAAGCTGTAGAGATACATTGTGAGATCCAAGAACACCACCTCTCTCCAAACCCCATCTCCTTCATAAGCCTTTGAAGAATTTGCCATTCAACTGTATCGTAAGCTCTACTGAAATCCACTTTGAAAACTACCCCTTTAAGTTCTTGCTTCCTCCAATAATCAATTCCTTCATTAGCTAAAAATGCACCAGTCCAACAATTGTCTACCCGGAATAAAAGCGAACTGAGACGGACTAATGATATCCTTGATACAAGAAATAAGTCTTTTTGATAGAACTTTTGAGAGGATTTTGTACAAGCTGCCCACAAGACTAATGGGTCTATAATCTTCAATGCTCTCGGGAGTACCTTTCTTAGGAATCAAGGTTATAAACGCATGATTGACTCCATGCTCCCATGACTTACCTTGATAGAAATCAGAGAAAAACTCCATGATCTTCTCCTTAAGATTTTCCCAATATTTCTTATAAAAACCCATGGTAAAACCATCCGGGCCAGGGGCTTTTGCACTATCCGAAGAAGAGATTACTTGCCACACTTCTTGCTCAGAGAATTCCACCTCCAAAGATGCACTCTGAATTGCAGAAAGTTGTGCAAAATCCATATTTAGGCCCTCAACCTCCATTGCTGAATTAGTGTTGTAAGCCGTCTTGAAGAAATTGAACACACTGCTTCTAATTTTTCCTGAGTCCGAGATAAATTCTCCCTTAATTTTCAATGAATGAATAGTGTTGATCCTGTTCCTAGTCAAAGCACTCAAGTGAAAGAACCTCGTATTTCTGTCCCCATCCTTAATCCACCTACTCCTGGACTTCTGACACCAGATGCTCTCCTCAGTCCTTAACAGCCTCCACAACTCCTTTTTACATTCTACCAACTGATCCCACTCCCCTTTGGACAATATTCCACCTTGCGACTTCCTTTCCCAATTCTCTATCTTCCCTTCAAGAACCGAAATGGATTCTGACAGCCCAACATTGCTGATTCCAGGCCAACTTCTAATCTGGTTTTTGGCGTTCTGAAGCATTCTGAAAATTCCCCCAAAATTCCTCTTAGTCTTCTCAACTGCCACAAAATTAACCACAAAATCATCAAAGCCTTGCTCCTGTAAAAGATAATTGAAGAATCTAAAAGGTTTTGGGCCCCAATTTATACAAACATCTTCCAGCAAAACCGGTTTGTGATCAGACATAGAGATCGAAAGAAGTCTCTGTGAAATCTTAGGAAAACAGTTGAGAAAACTGTCACTTAACAAGAACCGATCAAGCCTAACCCATGTTGAATCTTCTCTATAACTACTCCATGTAAAAGACCCTCCTGACATGGGTAGATCAATGAGCTTAGCTCTCTGCACAAATGTTCTAAAAATATTTAAAGTATGCCAGTTCTGAGCTTTCCCTAGCTTTTCTTCCGGATCAATATACGCATTAAAATCCCCCCCTATACAAACTGGTAAATTCAACGAAACTACAAAACACAACAACTCCCCAAAAAAATCCTCCTTTTCGTCTTCAATAGCCGGGCCGTATACATTAATAAATACGAACTCCTTTTGATCATTCAAAAAATACCCCACCAATGCCAAAAACCTACTGTGCACATGCTGATTGGTGACTTTGAACATATTCTCATTCCACATACTAATCAAACCACCCTTAGACCCCTGTGCTGGAGACAACTTCACTCCCTTTAACATACTCCCTCATAACCTCCTTAGAATAGACTCCTTACAATGTTCTAGCTTGGATTCTTGAATAAACACCAGAACTGGTTTGACCTTTTTTACAAGCCTAGCGACAGAAGCAATCTTCTCCCTCCTCCCTAAACCTCTAATGTTCCACGAAAGAATTCTTAAATTCTGCATAAAAATGTATCACTCCCAAACGCCCCAACCATACCCATCCAACCCGCAAAACCTAACCATCATATCCATCACCCTTTACAACCTCCGAACCATTCTCAAGGCAAATAATCTTTTCAATAAATTTCTCCTTCCCATCCTTGAAAGAGATGCCTAACATCAGACATACTTCCCAAGTGGCCATAGCTTCCTCCACCAGCTTAGAAAAAAGAGGAGAGTAGGCAGTGTGAATATTAACCAACTCCAAGGCTTGATAAATTAAACCTCTTCTATTCTTTCTGCGAACTCTTCCTAACTTTGGAGATGAAAACGCATCAGGTGCCACACACTCCGACACTACTGCCGACGGCTGTTGTAATATTCTGCAATCTGACCCCTTCTGTTCTTGAATCGTATTAGCCTCTGAACCAATAAAATCAGCTTCTTTACACGAATTTAGCCATATTTTCTTGTTCCTCGACCTTATATAAACTCTAGCATGTCGACCTCTTTTCTTTCTCCAATCCTGCGCTGATCGAAGAGTCATACAAGCAGAAACAGGAAATCCCCTCTTCCACCTCTTGACACTCTTTACACTTACCTCCTTGTTTTCCTCCTGCACCAATTGACTAACCACTTCCATCTCCATTCTATTTTCTTCGACTTCCTGGACACCCTCACCTTCTTTTCCAATTAAATCGCAGCTATCCACCTCTACTAATTCATGAAGAGACTGAAACTTGTTATTCTCTCCTACATCATCCCACCTCACCTTAACCGCCGGCCCAGCAGGAATAATTTTAGTAACTGGTGAAAAAGAATCCCAGTTTGAATCAGATTGGGCTGAGCAGCTCGGGTCCACCACTGCTCTTAGCCCAAGACCCGCATACTCCATATTAAAAACTGGCTCCACTTCACATTCCAGATTCCCTGACAGCCCATAACTATTGGATTTCGTGTGGGACGTCTTTTCAGGGGACTGTTCCCCACCTTCCTTAATCCCCCCACTTTCTAAATTTCTTTGTCGCCACGTGTTCCCCTCTGTCCCCACTACCGCTGCTGACATTCCCCGAATGCCTACTTCCTTCCCTGAACTACCACCATCATCAGACCACTCCTGCAACTTTTCTCCGATTATAGCCGGGGATGTATAATAACTTCCTCCCAAAGTAATTTTGACCTTAAAAGATCTTCCATAAGACCCTACAATAATGGATTCTTGTATGTCATAAGGACTTGCAACCCTCATCAACAGTCTCGCCGATGAGAGATCCTCTTTATTTTTGGTCTCATCCAGTATACAAACAAGGTCTCCCCACCTTCCTGCTAATTTTTCCAGGAATGGTTCATTCCAGCAAAGAAGTGGTAGCCCTACTAACTCTACCAAACCATACGCCATTGGAACACCTTCATCATTCAACACCGGAGATAACCATTGAAACCAGGAAAACATTTTGTCTCGGTACTCCAACCACGCCTTACCGAAATCTTCATTTGACTTGAACATAACAATGACAGCATTCCCTACGAAACCCCAACTTACTATCTTTACCTGAAATCCCTCCTTTACGAAGGCCTCCTTCACCATGTCCAGCTGCATGGAATATTTGACTACCCCTGTTAATGAATACTTCACCCAGCCATAATCATCAGTAGGAATGTGCATATCCCATACATTCCTAACTCCATTTGCTTTCACAGACTGACCTCCTTCTCTCTCCACTAGCTCAAACTCCATGTTCTTCGCGCTATCCCCCTTCAGCACTTCCTCGTACGATCTGCCATTCCTCAGACTACTCGCTCTTTCCGTTTGCATCTGTTGCCTACCTCTGACCCCTGTGCCTGATTTGTTACCTTCCGGTTGATGCTTATACCCCACTATACCTCTTCTCCTATTCTTCTTGTACTTTGCCACCCCCACTGACACTCGCTTCCCATCAATCAGAGTTCCATTCACATTCTGAACTGCTCTATTGCAACTTTCCTCTAACTCAAATTGCACAAAAGCGAACGTGGACGATTTGTAGTTCGGTTTAAAAATAAAATTTGGAATATAAACCCTGACTATTCTGCCATACTAGATGAAAATCTCTCTAAGCTCACTTCTAGAAACTCTCTTACTAAGGTTTTCAACAAAGACAGTCCATTCCTCATCGGAGGAGGGACTCCCATACGCACTCGCTCCGTTTCTCTCTCTAACTTTCTCTCTCATGCTGAAGCTTATGTTATTTATTTTTTTCATTAACGGAATCTAATTGACAGTTGATGTGCTTAACCTCTGATATTGCATGATCCACAAGATAGTTTTCAAATTTCCTTTTTCAGTTTCCTCAACTTAAGTCAATATTCAAGAAGTATATTCATCGTGTGTTTTTCTCACAGGTGATCTTTCTATTAGGACGTGGTCCAGATGCTCCTCCTAGGAAATTGTTTCTGCAAAGGCACCAACAAAAAGGAAGGTTGAATCAGTCGAAGCTCCCTCCTGGCTTCTCCTGGGGACCCATCATTCGTTTTGCATTTTGGTCTCTCGTCTGGTCAGTCTATATGCTGGTTCTTTGTGGCATTTCCTTGAAACAGTTTGATGGTTTATGGGAGATGTTTAAAAGGTACCGATCAAATTCCATACATTTCTCTTTCTTATTGTATTGAACTAGGGAAAAAATTTACGATTAACCCAAGAGTTAGTTTGCTCAAGTTTTTTATTTTTCATTTTTGATCAATATTGTAAACCTCTTAGGACTAGTTGACTATTTATTTGCTAGGCCTAGGACTCATATCTACTTTATATGGAATAGCTGGAAACAACTTATTATGAATGGTGGCAACAACCTTTTAATTTCAAACCAACCAAGAAGATGTGGAGCTTGGTAAATTTATCCTTGATGATTTTCTGGAACTAAGAACAGAATAAATAGGTCATTTGGCATTTGATTGCTTTTGAGTTAAGCCATACTTCATCTTTACAAGATTGTAGTATAAAAGATTTTGATTGTTAATTCTATGTGGCTGGTTTTGTAGTACATATGGATTCATCCTCACTGTGGAAGATTTGTCTCCAAATATAGGTGTCTTACGGTGAGTTCAAATTTTTCTTTGTCATACATCTTATGTTCATCTTCTCTGACAGTTTCATGTCCCTGATATGTTATGGCAGGTACATCTTTGCGGAAGTTTTTGAATTTTTCAGGAACTTCTTTTTGATAGTTTTCCATTTCAATATTTTATTTATGATATTGCCATTAGCCATACGGCTTCATCACCGACCCTGTTACTTGGCTTTTGTATACTTTGCCATATGTTCCATGCTGAAGTCCTATCCATCAGTACGTTCTCACTATATCCTTTCGATTGTTCCGTTTTTACCATATTTTCTTCGACTATTTTTTGAAAATTTGAGATGCAACTCCATCAACTTTATATATGTGACATGAGCTAAATCAACCACATACCTGCGGTCTACAATAATGCAGTGGTTTCAGGACCAACTTAATATTACAAATCAGATCGGTCATTCTCCTAACCTTTTGTGCTTTAATATCAATTAGGTTGGAGATTCAGCACTGTACTTGGGTTTGTTGGGTTGGTTTGTTAACGAATTATCAGACAAGTTAATGGAATCTTTTTCCGATATTGAATGGTGTTTATAATTGTTTCATATTTTAAGCGTTATTTCTGCCTTACAGATATGCAGTTCTCTCTCTTCTTCTTCTGCGGATATGTCGGGGTTTCTCTTCTCAGCCCTGTCATGCACAACCTATGGATATGGATCTCTTCCTTTTTTAATGTGCAATGAGTAGAAGTCCATTATTCTTTAGTACCTATGCTCCGACTCTTCATTTCTTTTTGTGAAGTATCCATGTTCAAAACCTGTGTCCGACGTATATTCAGACGTGTGTGGGGGTGTGGGGATATGAGCTTCCAAGGACTCTCCAAATACATGGAAAAACTTCTAAAATATGAATATACCCATATTGGACATGTACCCGAATCTTTCTCACATATTAGTCCGAATAACGTAACTTTAGTACTGCTATTGACTTGCTGAAATTTACAGGGCACTGGCAATGCAAACTTCTACTTTGCAACAGCTATGGTTTATGCTTCCTTGCAGGTGAGTTATTTCTTTTTTTCTGATCCATTGTTCTTTTATTATTTATAACTTGATATCAGGCCGTAAAAATAGAACTCCAATGTAAACAAATTAGCTTCCTGGTATTTGTGGACGATTGTGAATGCTTGAACCTACCGTTTTCGAGAACTTCGAACGGAATTTAATAATTGATTTTATCCCTTACTTTGGCCTTGTTTTGCAGATTGTCTTGGTTGTCGAGGGTGTGAGTGCCATGTTAAACCATGACAGAAAGTTGAGACGCCTAATCACTGGCAAGCCCCAAGACGCCAAATCCTGAGTTCTTTCCGATTCTTCACCTTAACTCAGCACTGCTAGAAAGATCCTTCTCGTCAGGTTACTGCCACCATATCTTTGCTCTCACCACTCTTGCATTGTATCAAGATCATGCTTACCTTCACTGCATGGAATTTGTCGGAAATGATCGTTCACTCAATGTTTGTTTCGCATGAATGGTTTCCGGTAACCTAAAAGTTCCGGAGAATCTTCCATCACCATTGAAGTTGTCAAAAATACATTCAAAATTCTTGTCAAAACCTTCAAGTTTTCAATAGAAAGTATAGGCTTTTTCACATTTTATGAAATATTTCAAGTTGTGCTCAGATAATGCGAGTAAATCATTCCATTTCTTTTTTCAAAAAATTTGAACTCATTAAATTTGTTGGTTGGATCCAGAGTTAAAATCGGCCCAATAATCCAAGCGGGTAAATTATTTCGCCCAATAAGGTGATCCGAAAATTATTTTGGGATCTACAACATTTGTTACGGTGCACGTAGAATTTGTCACGTGAGCGTGATGAGTTTCATACAATATATTAAAAAAATTAAAACTCGTCACGGGAACGTGACAAATTTTGTACAATTTTGTTTTATATTATAAGACGAGTTTTACTTTTTAATATATTATATGAAATTTGTCTCGTGGGTATGATGAGTTCCACAAACATTATAACAAATATTATAAATCCCAAAATAATTTTCAAATTGCCCAATAAAACTAAATAATTTGTCCACTCAGGGGTTGTTTGTTTACTTCAAAATGATTAAGCGCTGAATGATTTAAACGCTGAATGATTCAGAGGCTCTGAATGAATTAGCTCTGAATGTGACATGCTGTTTGATAATGACTCTAAATCATTCAGAATGTACTTCTGTGTTGAATCATTCAGTACTGTTTTGTTGAATCAATCAGCACTGAATCATTTATAGGTGCGAAACAAACGCGCTGAATGCTTTGAATGCTGAACGGTTCAGCATTCAGCGTTGAACGGTTCAACATTCAACGCTTAACGATTCCATTAAGAGGCAAGCAAAAAGCCTGTTAGATTATTGGACTGATTTTGCCGAATCCAAAACCTGTCAAAGGGTCGGATTGAGTAATGATCCGAATTTTATATTCTTTCTATATAAATCAAATAAATTAATATAACATTTCCACTGAAATATTGTATCAACTAATATTATATTTTGGGAATTATATTTTTTTTGAGAAATAAAGTACACAAATAATCTATTAATTATATGATGATATTTTATTGAATTTATCGACTATTAAAGGTTACAAAATGATCATCTGACTATCTATTATGTTTCAAATTCATCATTTTTCGTTAAAAAATTGATAATAATCTTAGTTGGATGTTAACATGTTGACTACGATATGATAATTTGTTATATATCTTGGGATCCAATTTTATTATATCTCAGTCATCATGTTAACATCTAGCTCAGACTGTAGTTAATTTTTTAACAGGAAAAGACGAGTTTGAAATATATTAAATAATCAAATGATCATTTTATAACTTTTAATAATATAGAAACTCAACAAAGTATCACATTACAACCAAATAATTATTTTATAACTTTGAATAGTTTAGAGATTCAAGAAAGCATCGAGTTTAGGTTATATAGTCATCTTTAGGGATGGGCATGAGTCGGGTTTTTGGTTCATCCGACCCGACCCGAGAACAAAGGATCTTCCACCGGAGACCCGATCTGACCAAAACAAAATTTCACCCGACCCGAATCCAATCGGACATATAACTTAGAAACCCGACCTGAAATAATAAAAAATATTATTTTTATTCTATAAAAACAATGACTTAATTTAAAAAAAGTATATATAAATGTATATTATTATAATTATTCTTAAATATATAAGATAAAATTATATATATTTTTTAAGGTATTTTTCACTCTAAATCCGAACCTGACCCGAACATCACACTTTAAAAAATTCACCCGATCTGAACATATTTTTTTTAAAATTTAATCCGATCAGATCGAGTCAAATCAAAACCTATCGAGTTCGAGTCTAATACCTATCCCTAGTCATCCTTGACAAATAAATATAGTTTGTTTTGAATCTTAAATGGCAATAATATCCATAGTAGCATTTGATATTCCCATTCAAACCATTTGAACCCAGTTGTGATTTGAGTGAAATAACTGTCCTCCATCGTCCACCCGAAAAGATTTCCCACTTTCGTCTGTATCTTTCCGTCAAACCAGCAAGATAATTCCCGGCCCGCACATACAGGAAAAGCAAGGAGAGAAAACCGGACAACCCTAGAGAGAAAGGCAGACAAATGGACGGTAATTCTACGGAGGCGGAGCGGTGGCTGACCATAGCAGAGAAGCTCCTAGCGTCACGTGACTTCCACGGGACGAGAACCTTTGCGATTCGAGTTCGGGAATCGGCCCCCGTCCTCGGCGATCAGATCCTCGCCGTGACTGACACTCTCCTGACCGTCCAAGCCAACCCTCATGACTGGTACGGCATCCTCCAGCTCGTTCCGTTAACTCAGTCCATGGAAGTGGTGGCGAGTCAGTACAGGAAACTCGCCATTCTTTTGAATCCTTCGGAGAACACGCTCCCTTTCGCAGATCAGGCGTTTCGGTTCGTTTCCGACGCTTGGAATGTGCTGTCGAATCCTTCCAAGAAGCTCATTTACGATAACGAGCTGAGATTCCTTCAGTTTGGTCAGGTGAGTCAGTTCAATCAACTGGGTCAGCTTGGCCAACAGCATTATCAGCAGCAACCGGAACTTCAGCAACCGCAAACGCAGATGCTGTTTATGCAACCGCAGCCTCCTCCGCCCAAAGAAACGCAAACGCTATTTATGCAAACGCCACAGAAAGAAACGCAAAAGCAGGTTACGCAATCACTATTTGTGAGAAGCCCTAGGAGCAATAGTAAAGATGGAAATACCGAATTAGAACGAGGAGGGCAGTTGGGTTTAAATAATACTGTTCCGGAATCAACTCGGCCGGGTGAGTCAGCTTGGACGAGGCAGATTTATCAGCTAGGTTTAGCCGAGCCGAATCAGACAGGATCAGTTAGTTCGAGCCATATTAGTTGGCCGGAGAATACACGGACGAGCCAGATTAATCGGCCTGAGCCTATTCGAGCTAGCCAGGTTAATCAGTCAGGAACGTCTAGCTCTAGTCACTTTAATCTGACTGAGCCGACTCGGACGAGTCAAGTTAATCACACATCATCTTCACCTCCTCCACCTCCTGCTGCTGCTGCAGCTACCACTACTACCACTACGGAGCATAGTCGGGCAGAGCCAGCTGATGTGAGTCAGAAGACCGATTCTACTCGGCCTAATCAGGCTTCTGGGTCAGAGCGACTGACTTTCTGGACGGCTTGTCCATACTGTTATGTTCTCTATGAGTATCCAAAGGCGTACGAGGACTATACACTGAGGTGTCAGATGAAAGAATGCCGGAGAGCTTTTCATGCGGTGGTGATACCTTCGCCTCCTTTGAATGGAAAGGACACATATTTCTGCTGTTGGGGGTTTTATCCCTTAGGATTTTCAGGGAATGGTAAGAATATGGACGGTAATTTTCCCTGTTGGTCACCTATTTCTCCCATGTTTACTTGCTCTAACAACAAGAATGCAGGAAAAGAAAAGAATTCCAAAAAATCTGCTCCAAGAGTGTTCTATGATGATCATGATGTATATGTAGAGATTTCGGATTCGAGTATGAATTCTGAGGGTGACGATGAATGACCAAAAAATATGAAAGAAGAGTAAGAAGGCGAAAAGGTGAAGGATTCGTGGGAGAAATGCAAAGAATCCACGAAGTGATAGAGTGAAGAAGGGGAGTAATGAGTAATGACCAAGTTTATTCTGCTAATTTTAGTGAATAATTGGCAATTGAAAACTTGATGGACATTAGAGGCCGTGGATGACACAAACTCCTAATTGCTTCAGGTTTTTAGGTTGAATGCTTTCTGTTGGTTTTGGCCTAGTACTGTAATTCGAAGTGCTATTTTGCTTGTTTAGTGGTTTTATTATTTGGTTGTACTGTAGTTGATTTTCCCTAGTAAAAGCTTCTTTATTGTATATCATCTGTTCTCTATGATTTTGAATTTTATTTAATATTCTATGTTGTTTTGCTGATAAGAAGAAATTAGGATAGCTGTATAGCAAGGGTATTACTTCAGGTTTTTATGTTCACTGCTATTCTGTTTGTATTGGCCTTGTATTGCAATTTGAATTGCTATTTTCAGTATTTTACTGTTGTAGTAGTTTTATTATTCGGTTTTGCTGTAGTTCGTTTGCCATGGTAAAAGCTTCTTTATAATGTATAATCTGTTATCTTTGCTATCTGGTTGATCATGAATCATGATCAGTTTGAGGTGGGGTGGTGTATGATTTTGATCGAGTTTTATACAATGTCTTTATCCTATGTAGTTTTTGCTGATTAGAAGGAGGTTATAGTATGAGTTTTTGGCTATCAGCTTGTTGAAATGATTTTTAACTCGATGTTTTATGGGTGGTTTATAGTTTCTCAGTTTAATGTTTATTATCAATGTGAGCTGATTCATTTTTCTTAGAATGGTGAGTTTTTTTTCTTGGTATTGTATCTGTTTAAAAGACTATCAAAGTTGGCTAACTTCTAGTGTCGAGAGGATACATTGCTTTAAGAAGTTATTGTTTCAAAAAATGTTGATAATGTGTTGGAGTATCTCTCAATTGTTTGATCGGAACCCCCAACAATAGGCAGGTATTGTGTTATCGGGGTGGTACGGCCTATGTGATACTGTTTTAGCCCCGAAATTTTATTTCCTGACCCGTAGGAGGATCCCAGGAGTGCCTTGGTTGAGGAAAGCACGGTCCGTAGATCGTGTTGACTTACCGTGGCTTATCTCGGGTGTTAAGCTACTGCATGTGGTTCATCCCGGTTTATTTGGGCGGAGAGCCATGGGACCCAATTGAAGTGTTTGTAGACTTGGAAGACCAAATTGGAGAGAGCGAACCTTGGAGGACTAATTGCCATTGAATGGCGCAATTGGTGTCGAAATGCGTTTGGGTGATTGTTGAGCACTCCTGTGCGGGGCTATGGTAAGTATAGCACGATCTACGGACTGTGTTCTACTCAACCGAGGTGCTTTTGGGACCCTCATAAGGGTTGGGAGTAGGGCTGTAAATGAGACGAGACAGATCTCGAGCTACTCGAGATCGACTCGGTTAAGGCTCGATAAATATTCGGATCAAATTGACTCGACTCGAATTCTTAACGAGCCGAAATGAGCTACTTTATACTCGACTCGAAAAGTTCGTGAGCAGCTCGAAAATATAATATATTAATAATTTATTTTTTAAAAAATAAATTATTAATAATATTAATATTTATGTGTTGATTTTTTTAAATACAATAAGGCTTTCATGTATTTAAGATTCAGGTTCGAGTTCGAGTTTGATGATTCAATTTTGTTAAGTTTAAGAATTTTTTTTTTCATTTCGAGCTGCTCACGAGCTTCAGTTCCGGATTTCGAGTTCGAGTCGAGCTTCATTTCAGAGTTTTCGAGTCGAGTCGAGTTCAGCAATACTCGAGCTCGACTCGGCTCGTTTAAACTCCTAGTTGAGAGAGAATTCCTGGGGTAAAACGGCATTGTAGGGCATCTCGAGAACACAGTACCTTCCGGTTGTTGGAAGTTCCAACTGAGCAATCGGGAGATCCTCCAACAATATGAACTCTTTGGGTTTTAGAAAAGTGACTATCTAGTATCGTCTGCTTTTTCTGGTTATTGTTGATTGCTTGGAACGATGCTGGCTGTCTTATAAATGTGGGGTTCTATGTTACTAGAACTCGAGATGAGTCTCGGGTCTGTATGTGGTTTATGTTTTCTGTATATTTAGAGGATCATATCTTCATTAACTGAAGAGTTGGAGTTACAGGGAGTAACACGTATGGCTTGAAGACCTTGAATCTTTTTGGATCAAAATAAGATCTGTGGATATACTAGTTAAGGCATGTACATCTTAGGTATGCTTGTTAATATATTCAATTGTAGCATTCTTCTTTTGTCGGCGTTGAGGTTTTGAAATCGGAGCACCGACACCGGGGAATCAATGATCAAGTTTTGGGATTTCGCAAGACGGTCAGAAGAAAGGTCTGTGAAAGATTGATCAGATAAAGGTTAATTATGGCTCAACACTATGTTGTTTGACTCTGTTGCTTCAGTTTTTCTTGGTTTTCTATGTGCCTGTTGGACACATATCTGTATCCGATGTTTATTCTGGAATTTGAACAACATAATTGTTTTATTCAAAGGACTATGCAAATTTCAGTGCTTTAGAACAGCATTTACAGGGAGGACAGAAACTGAGTACATGTAGCTAGTTAAATTTAAGGGTAAATTACGTGTTTAGTACCTAAACTATCAGATTTGGTATGTTTTAGTACTTAAACTTTTAAATTTTTTCAAAATCATATATAACGTTTAGTTTTTGTTTCATCTTAGCATCATGTCGTTAACAACTTAACACATTTAGTACTTAAACTATCAGTTTTGGTCTGTTTTAATATCTAAACTTTTATTTTTAAAAAAACTTAAATATGGTTTAGGTACTAAACATGTTTTGGTACTTAAACTTTCTATTTTTCAAATCTTTGTTTTGATATTAAAAATAAACAAAAATTAAACTTTGAGTATGATTTAAAAAAATTAAAAATTTATGTACTAAAATAGATTAAAATTGATAGTTTATACTTAAATTTAACATTTACAAGGTAGGTAACTCATCTTATTTGATTTCAAATAATATCACATGATTGTTCTGATGATGTGGCTTCAAATAATGTTAAATATTTTTTTTTAAAATAGTAACTAATATGATTATTTAGATATTGATCTAATATAATTTACTCTAATTAAACCTAAACTAATTCAAGTTAAAACAAGTGCTGTAATAATATCCCACCGTTTTAACTTTTCCTTGCCTACTACATCACTCATTCCTATATTAAACATAGATAAATTATAAATTTAGTAACTGAACTTTATTATTTTTTCTATTCCACTCACTGTACTTTAAATCATTTTAATTTGTTTATTAAACTTAATATATTGAGTTTTTTTTGTCACTGAGTCGATTTCTTACTAACGAAGTTATAAATAGGCTATTATATAGATTCAAAACGATTTCGTTTTGGTGAAAATTTTATTTTTTAAAACAATGTCGTTTTAACGCCGTTAACTATTTAACGTTCAGTGATGAATTTGGAATTTACCCTTAAAACATTAAATCTGGAGAGAGGGATTTTCAATTATGAATTTGGGGAGAAAGTAACGTTCAGTGATAAATTTGAAAAGAGTGTAACTCCCAGTTATGAATTTGAAATTTACCCTTAAAACATTGAAACTTGTAAATGACAATAATACCTTTAAAATATTTATTTTTTTGCCATTAAGTCGTTTTCTCACCAACAAAATTATTATTGGGAAAATTTATTTTTTTTAAAATTTTAACAGCGAGTGTCAAAAAAACCCTAATATATTAAGTTCAGAAAAAAATTTGATTTTTTTTAAACTCGAGCAAAATAAGTGAGATAGTAACTTTCTATGATGAAATTAGAATTTAGCCTTAAAACATTGAAACTTGTAAATGACAATAATACCCATATATAGTTAGTTATATCCCATCCATTTAAACAGAAACCGCCTGTCAATTTCATGAAACAACTGCCCTCCTTCGTCCATCCGGAAACCAGACACGGAGCTTGATTTTTTCTTTTTTTGTTGTTGTTGTCAAGAAGACAAATAGTTCCCACCATTCACACACACAATAAAAAAAAAGGAAGCAACACGGAGGAGAGAAAGACTGGTAAGGAAATGGACGACGGAAGCAACACGGAGGCGGAGCGATGGCTGAACGCAGCGGCAAAGCTCCTCGCTTCAGGGGACTTTCACGGAACCAGGACCTTCGCGATCCGAGCTCGAGAGTCGGCACCTGTCCTTGCCGATCGAATCCTCTCCGTTACCGACACTCTCTTAACGGCCCAAGGTAACCCTCGTGACTGGTACGGCATCCTCCAACTCGTTCCGTTAACTCAGTCCATGGAAGTCGTTGAGAGTCAGTATAGGAAACTCGCGATTATGCTGAATCCTGGGTGGAACACACACTCTTTCGCATATCAGGCGTTTCGGTTGGTTGCGGAAGCTTGGGAGGTGTTGTCGAATCCTTCTAAGAAGCTTATTTCTGATGACGAGTTGAGGTTCCTGCAGTTTGGTCATGTAAACCCACTTGGACAGCAACATTATCAGCATCAACAACCACAACTTCAGCAACCGTAAACTCAGACACTGTTTATGCAAACGCCGCTGAAAGAAACGCAAACGCAAGTTACGCAATCATTTTTTGTTAGAAGCCCTAGAAATAACTATGATGGATATGCCGCGTTAGAAGGAGAGCAATTGGGTTTAAATAATTATTCTGCTGGGTCAAATTGGACGAGACAGACAGGTTTACCTCAGCCGAGTCAGATTAATAAGACAGGATCAGTTGGTGCAAACCATATTAGTAGGCCGGAGCCTACACGGTCGAGCCATACTAATCGATCTGAGCCTATCGGGGCCAGCCAGATTAATCAGACAGAGTATAGTCGGATTGAGCCTACTCAATCAGGTCAGATTAATCACTCGGCAACTCCTGCTCCTACCAAGGAGCATAGTCAGACAGAACCAACTGGTGCCACTCGGGCTAGTCAAGCTACTCAGTCAGAGGGACCGGAGAACAATGCGACTCCAGCTAGTTAATCTATTCAGTCAGAAGGATCAACTTTCTGGACCGCTTGTCCGCACTGTTACTCTCAATTTGAGTATCCGAAGGTGTACGGGAATCGTACACTAAGGTGTCAGACTAAGGACTGCAGGAAAGCTTTTCAGGCGGTTGTGATACCGTTTCCACCAGTTCAGACAGAGCCAAGTGGTGTGAGTTGGAATACCTATTTGACTTGGGCTAGTCAATCTACCGAGTCCGCGGGACCAACTTTCTGGACTGCTTGTCCATACTGTTATGTTCTCTATGAGTATCCGAAGGTGTACGAGGATTACACGTTAAGGTGTCAAGCTAAGAACTGCAGGAGAGCTTACCACGCAGTTGTGATACCATCACCACCAGTGAATGGAAATGACACGAATTTCCGCTGTTGGGGCTTTTTTCCGATAGCTTGCAATGGTAATTTCTCAAGTTGGTCGCCTATTTCGACCAATTTTGCTTGCCCTGACAACAAGAATGCTGGAAAACAAAAGATCACCAAAAAGTCTGCACCGAGAGTATTTATGATGAACAAGATACATATGTGGAGATATCTGATTCGAGTGTGAGTTCTGATGACGACGACGATGACGATGACTGGAGAAATGAAAAGAGGGAGAAAAAGGTGAGTAATACAAAAGGAAAGGATCTTGGGGGAGAAATGCGAAGAAACCACAGAGTGAGAGAGTGAAGCAGGGGAGTAGTGAACAAGTTAATGCGGATCATAGTGGGAACCTGAGTGGTGTGTCTATGGTGCCAGAGGGTGTGCCAACTGCTGAGTCGAGCAAAAGGGGGGTGACAAATAGTGGAAGGAAGCAGATTAAACGAGGAATGAAGGTTTTGGGGAATTTGGATTTGAACGTGGAGTTTAGGAACGAGGTGAAGAGCCGGTCAGAGGGAGGAGTAAGGGGAATCATGCTGGAGTCGAGGAGGAGGATAACAATGGAGGGAATGGTTTTTTTGAGGGTCTAGTGAATTTTCAGTAGTTTGCCTATACTCTCGGTTGTTGGGGATGATAAAGTGAAGGCTACTGAGTGAATTCATATCCTTCACCACCCTCCAAACCGCAGTTTTTTTAATTGTATGCTTATTGTATTTAATGATGTAGAAGTACTATGGATCTCATTTCATACTTCTTTCCGAGTTGAGTTCGACTCTACATTTTGCAGCATCATGTTTTGTCATTATTTTCATTGTTTTTGGCTGCCTGTTTATTCCGAGTGAACTTTCCTGTTAGGAAGTTCAGTACATACCACGAGATATTTTCGTGATGAAGATTGAGTATTTTGTCTACCATGACACTTGCAGAGATGCACGAATGGATGGTAAGGTTTCCGACTGTTCTCTTCCCTTTTCCTTTGCATACCACAAAAAGTTTAATTGAGCTATGTAGGCTTGTCAATATTGCTCTGTAGTAGATTTCATCGAATAGTGGATTGATAGCAGGATAAGTTTTGTTATCACGGAGCGTTATTGGTTTCTTTGTGAATGCTTTTGTTTTTGCAAATCTGCTTTCTTTCCGAAGGTTGTTTCACTTTACCGATCTCGAAAATGCAGAACCGTCCTTGCTTTTACTTTGTTTTTGCTTGTAGGTTGTAATTCATGCATCTTTCTCTGTCGTGAAAGCTTCAACTGCTTTGTTGGTCTTGCTCAGCAGCAACTTCAGAGTTCTATCCTCGTTGATATTACTTGTATTCTTCATTTTTCTTTAAAAGCAAATGGTAATAATAGCAGTTGATATTACTTGTATTCTTCATTTTTCTTAAAATATTCTGTGTTCGACAAATATCCAAAATATGAAACATGATCATATCCTAAAAACTAAGAAAAACATGAGAAGTACATCCATGTCGGACACCCCGAAAATGATGTTGAATCCGCAAAAATAAACCTTACATGGATATGGTGAATCAACATGTACGAAACAATCATAGCAATATGATTATATGATGTACATAAGCACTAAAACTACGAAACTATACAGAGGTTATAAACAGCTAATGCCATTGCCTCGAATTTCGTACCGGCTCTGAACCGGAGCCGGATCTCCTGTCTGTAGACTGAAACTTCGAATGTTAGGATTGAATTGTAATCATTGACGGGTGCATGATAAGCCCTTACAGATTGACAACCAAACCACTAACAGTAAAAAACAAAAAGCTGCATCAACGACGAGAATGATCCGGACTTGACGGCACCACTTTTTACGGATGTTCTGAGATCCGGGTCTGATCCTAGTTGAATCCAAGTCCTTTTGTAATATGTTGGATGAACTTGCTCCGTTTTGGTTATTAGAATCTAACGCAGCTGGATCTGTTTTCACTCCTCTATCAGTCGATTTCCGATGCTCCTCCAGCTCAATATCTCTTACCGCAATCACATGATCCTTATTCTTCTTCTCTTGCTTGCTCGGTTTTCCCAACAAAGGGGCTTTCGTGGAACTAGGAGCTTCAAGTTGGGCATTTGCGTTGCTTGGAGAAGAAGGAATCTCAGTTTTCCAATAATTGCCACTATTCGAAACTTGTTCTAACGAAGCTATTAAACGCTGGATAACTGGCACTAGTTGCTCTTCGACGCCCATTGAACTCATACTCGAGAAACTACTTCTCGAACCCTTCCTAGTGACATTTCCAAATTCATTTCTTATGCGCTCTAGAAACCGAAGCACAAGGCAGCCATCCTTTCAACCTCGTGATCTCCCCCACTGTATTCATATAGAATCCTATTTGCCATCGAAACAGAACAATACTGAACCGTATTCCGAATCGATCCCATCGGAGCTCAAATCTTCAACTTACAACTCAAATAAGGTTTCGATTTTGAATCCGAAAGTTATCAACACTATAGGCAATCAAGATGAGGCAAAACAAGGGATGTACAAAGCTCTCAGAGCAAGCTTTTATAATGATAGAAAAGAACTCGAAACTTCGATTTCTAACTCGAATAAAGCTTTCGATATCGAATCCAAAGTTGTCAACGATCTAGGCAATAAAGATGAGGCAAAACAAGAGATGAATCAAATTCTCAAGGATCGAAATTAACACCTGAAGAGCACAATCAAGTCCTCAGCAACAATGTCGAAAGCCTCGAGAAAATACCAACACAGATCTTCTGCTAAGTACTCAAATTGAAGAATTAAGCTCCTCATGCCTGTAACTTCCTAAATACAATCACAATTAACCAATAAATTCAGTAAGTTTCATACACAAAGTAAAAATTCAAGGAAACTCCAGAAATAATTCTCGACCACAATCAAAAGATCAACTTAAAAACCATAACTTCAAGCATAATAGAACAATCAAACTGAAAGAAATTTTGATCTTTTCAGTCATTTTTTGTCTTCGAAGCAACAATCAAGCAATAATTGAAAGGGTTATTTCTTTTGTGATCAAATCATAATTCGATTACCTGAGAACCAGATCTCTGAATGATCTTCAAAAACTCTGGGAAAATATTGAATCTTTTACATGGAGAAGTAGAGAACTGAGGGAAAACCAGAGGAGTTGAACCATAATGAAAAAGAAAGAAGCTTATTGCTTTAAACAGAAATAGAGAGTGAGGAAACCAAGTATTTTAAACTTGTACGAGTGAAGTAATGGATTTGTGATTTGATGATCTCTCTTCTTGACTGCTTCAAACAATGTCGTGTTTCTTTCTGACTTCAAAAATTAAAATAAAAAGGTTAAACTATAAATTTAGTACCTAAACTATTACTTTTGATCCATTTTATTACTTAAACTTTCAATTTTTTTAAAACATACTTAACATTTAGTTTTTGTTTCATTTAAGTACCCCCACCATTACAAACTTAATGGATGGGCTGACGAGGCATAGCTGCGATGGATGGACAACCAATCCGACGGTGAACCATGAGAGAATAACGAGTTAACCAACATAGTCCAGTTTCAGGTCCATCAGACCGTTGATGATGGAAATCGGAGGATGAAGAAGTCGAAGAGTTCATCGTTGATTTGGGGAAAATGGGACATTTTTCGGTGAAACTAAGGCCGAAATCTTGTTCAAAGGGTCAAAAAGGTGCATACTAGAAAGTTTGGGCTTCATTGGTCGACGGATGCGATGACCAGCGAGCCCGTTAGTTAAGTTTTTAACGACGGGTACTCAAATGAAACAAAAACTAAATGTTAGGCATAATTTTGAAAAAATTAAAAGTTTAAGTACTAAAACGATCAGAACTGATAGTTTAGATATTAAATGTTAAATTTAACCAAATAAGAATCAGTAGACAGATCTGACGTCCTCTCTACTTATGTACAACAATACAATAATAGGATTAAATTATTTTGATAAATTATCTCATTAATCGCTAAATTAATTTATTTATGATTTGATTATTAAGTTTTAAAATATTTTAATTTAAATATTATTTTTTGTTACTAAATTATTAATCATTAACGACGGAGTAAAATGACGGTTTATTTTCATAGAAAGTTATCAATTTTATTGATTGTCGTTGTTAATTAACTGTCGTTTATCATCAATTGTCATCTGAGATAAGATGAATATCAAAACGTTTATATTTCACTCTTATTTCTTATCTTTGGACTGTTTTTTTATTATAAAACTCACTCTAAATCGATATAAATCATCTAAAATTCAACATTCTAAAATACTAATCTTCACTGATGATGTTCGATGAATCTATTTTTGGGTTAAATTCTTTTTCTTCTAAAATAAATACTTTTCACCATTCAAATTTTCAAACAAATACTTTAAACTCTTTAGATTATTTAAAAAAACCCAAACATATCTAATATTTAACTTTAAATAAAATATTAAATAAATTTATAATTTTAATTAAAAGAATTAAATAATTAATTGAATAGTAATATAGATATAAATGTGTGTAATTTTTTGTTTTATTGGATTTATCTTCATTTTAAATTCATGACCTGACCCTGACATAATACGATATCGGTTTATATCTCTTTGATAAAAAAAATTTAATTATAGGGTTTTACTTTCAGATTCAAAGACTAAAATTTTCATCAAAAGACGTCGTTTTGCATCTATATAATAATTTATTTATAAATTTATTAGTGAAAAAATGATCAAGTGATAAAAAAATTCAATATATTAAATTCAGTAATAAAATTGAAAAGATTTAAAATATAATGAACGAAGTTAGAGAGAATAAAATTCTTACTAAATTCGTAGTTTACTTTCAGATTCAAAATAAGGATTATAGGGTTTTACTTTCAGACTCAAACACCAAAATCTCAACTTTCTCTTCCCCAATTTCGTTTGGGAGCTCTGGGATCATTTAGGGATTTGAGAATATTGGGAAACCAATGGAGGCAGAGGTGATAAAAGCTGAGTTGGTATTGCCAACGCATATGATTTTCAAGAGGGTACAAACGTATGAGAAATACCCAAAGGGCCAATCGAAAGTTAGGTGGAAACAGCTCAAGCAGATCATCCAAGCTGAAAATTACCAGAATTACGATCCCGATGAACCCAATTGTAAGTCTCTGTCGGATGAATTTACGGTTTTTGAGTTAGTTCATTGAAATTCCTACGTAATTGCATAGTCGAAACCCTTGCTTGAAATTTTTGTACGTTGTTCTTTTAAGAGGAATTCCATGTTTAGAAGCTTATGTTTTTTTTAATATCCTTTTTGCAATGATCAACGCTGATAAAGCAACTCATCTTTTTTTTTTTTTAATTTGTGTTTTGCAGATGTTAATATCGAATCACCTCCTTCGATGCAGCCGTGTAAAAGAATTTGTGATATTACAGGATTTGAGGTTTGTGGCTAACTGAATTAATCATTTGAAAGTTGAAACTTTTGATTTTTTTTCCTCAGAACATATGCTTTAAGCTTCCGACTCATGTTACAGATGTTAATTAGTTGCGTTTGATATATTTCTAGCTAATTGTAACATGTAACTTGCAATATGATCCCTAACTTACTGATTTTACTGCGTCGAATTCTGATTGTAACTCGAATAGATCATTTCAATTTCTGAAACATAATAAAGAACAATTAATTCATAATTGTTGTGCAGGCACCGTACTACGATCCAAGGACGAATCTCCGCTATGCAAATGCTGATGTTTTCAAGCTTGTGAGATCTCTTCCAAATGAATACGTGCAAAGGTATCTGGCTCTAAGGAAGGCGGCAGTTGTTTTGAGGTGAAGTTCAAAAATTCGGAGATGGACTTTGGTCTTTACCTATGTGAATCATGATAGAGATTCTCATGATGTTTAATCTACAATTTGTTTGATTGATGGATGTAAGGAATACCGAACCACATATTATGTTCCATTTCGTCCTGGGAACCAAACTTCGGGTAGTTTTAGGTTAACTGTAGCATGAGATAAACTGGTTAAAGCTGTACTTTTATATGGCCTATGAGAAATGAGAATGCTATGTTGTTTGAAACTTATTTGCTTTGATATCGGAGGCAAATCTCTGCTAGCGATGACAAATAGAGATTGCAGATATGAATATTTGCAAATATGAACCGTTTTCATCCAAGCAATGAAGTTTTGATCTCTCTTTCTCTCTCTTGTTCTTATCAGAAGTTCATCCATGAGAATTTGGCCCAGAGATCTGTGCAATGCAATCCTTTATACTTTTTTTGGTTTGGTTTGAGTGTCTGATATCCGGTAGTCAGACTGAATCCTAGGTTGATCTGAGATCCCTGAACCAAGAGGGGAGGCGCAAATTCTCCTAATGTTGTTTTCTTCTTCCTCAAGACTCAAATCTGATATCTTATTGAGCTCCCTTGAGTTCTTGAGCTTCGATAAATTCCACATCATGTTTTGAAGCGTCTTCGAACTTCTTGGCTTTAACCTAATTGTATATTATGATTGTTTTCTAAGATCATGTTTGAATATGTATCCGATACCGAAATTGGATATAAATATATTGAGCAAAATGAAAATTTCGAGCAATATAGGATAAAGTTATTTCTTCAATGCCCAAGAATTTCCACTTCTGTGGCACCCAGAAGGTCAAAAACAGTTGTTTTCTGGACGAAAATTGACCAGTAATTCCAAAAGAAACAAGCAATGATTCATCATCAACTTGGCTACGACATTAAAGATAGTTGGGATATTGTTTTTGTTAGGACAGTCGATCACCATGTCTTCCCCAAACCTCTATTTGATCTTCGTCGTCACATCGGTGTTGAGTTTCCATTTATGGAACTTAAGATCTCAAGAAATAACATGCAACCCCGATGATTTGAAAGCCCTGAATGGATTCTCAAGCTGTCTGAAACCACATGTTCTTGGATGGAACAACAGCTCTGTTTCAGATTGCTGCACTTGGACCGGTGTCACCTGTGATAATTCCTTGAGCAAAAGAGTGGTAGCTTTAGAACTCGGTGAGAAGATCTGTATGGAACAATCTGTGATTCCATTGCAGCCTTAGACCAGCTTAGAATTCTGAACCTTTTTCATAATTACATTTGTGGTACCCTTCCGACTGAGCTGTTTCGCTTGAAGAACCTGGAAGTCCTCGACGTAAGTGACAATGGTTTCATCGGTATAATCCCAGAAGAACATTTATCAGGTATCTGGTATGTTAATGTTTCAAAGGTGAAGTTCCACAGGTGGAAATCTCTGCAAGAACTCATCCCATATCAAGATCCTTGATATATCAATGAACAGCTTCTATGGTGAAGTTCCACAAGGTGTGGGAAACTGTACTTCATTGCAGTACCTCTGGCTCAATGGGAATAATTTCAGGAGCTTAACGAAAGGTATCTTCCGCTTGCTGCAAGATCTTAGGGTTTTATATCTTCAAAACAACATCTTTTCCGGGCCGCTCAATCACGGGATCGGTTGTCTTTCTAGCCTTGTTGAATTGGACATCTCATCCAATTCATTTTCGGGGGCTCTCCCAGATGTGTTCGGCAGCCTAGGAAAGCTAGAGAAATTCTCTGCAAGTTCAAATAACTTCAATGGAACTTTGCGGGTCTCGTTGTTCAACTCTCCATTGATTATGAGCCTTGATCTTCACAACAACAGCTTGAACTATCCGGTTCACCTCAATTGTTCAGCCATGGTCCATCTCAAGTCCCTTCACCTCGGCTCTAACAATGTCAATGGTTCAATCCTCCAGAGCCTTTCCTCTTGCAACTGACAATGCTGAACCTTGGCCATAACGACCTCGACGGTCAACTCCCCGAAAATTTAAGAATATCAAGGCCCTCACAGTGCTCTCACTCTCAAGGACCAACCTTTTGAATATCTCATCTACACTCTACATTCTGCAGCACTGCAAAAACTTAACTGTTTTGCTACTTGGTGAAAATTTTCAGGAGGAAGAGATTCCCAGTGATCCTGGTTTTCGATTTGGGAGCCTCAGGGTCCTTAGCATTGCCTATTGTGAACTAAAGGGATCGATCCCACCGTGGTTGCTCGGCTGCAACGAGTTACAGTTCTTGGATATGTCAAGGAAACATCTGGCCGGAACCAATTCATCGTGGTTCAACGAGTTCAAGTACCTTTTCTATGTTGATTTGTCGAATAACTCATTCACAGGTGAGATACCGAAAGGGCTGACTCAACTACAAGCACTCATTGACATGAACATCTCATTGGAAGGACCTTCTTAAGGGTTCCCTTTATTCAGAACTAGTACAGATGGTGCAACGTTTCGTTACAACAACATTTGGAGCTTCCCACCAACGTTAGACCTGAGTTACAACATGATAACCGGACCCGTTTGGCCGAGTTTCGGGGATTCGAGAAGGCTTCATGTGTTGAACCTCAATGAGAACCGGTTGACAGGATCGATACCGGAGAGTCTGTCGGGATTGAAAAGCTTGGAAGTTCTGGATTTGTCACATAACAGACTGTCTGGAAACACACCGATTTCACTCGCGGAGCTGAGTTTTCTGTCGAAGTTTAACGTGGCATATAATGAGCTTCAAGGGGAAATTACCATGGGAGGTCAGTTCATGACATTTCCATATTCAAGCTTTGAAGGGAACAGTGGACTTTGTGGGGGAACATATGTTCCATATCCGGTTCAACATGGCACCATTGATGAATCTACAGGTGATGACAGAATGACAGTGTTGGGTCCTCAGTTCGGATATGGAGTTGCTACTGGTTTTGTTCTTACAGTTACTGTCTGCTTTATGTCTGGTTGGGTCCTTCCTTCCAAGAGACACAACATTTGAATAGGGAGGGTCTTTGATGTAAATGTAGACAGCTATCTATTCTTTAAGTAGTAATTTTCAATTTTACACCATAATAGTATTACTGATAACAGTTACATTTCTTTAATAGTGAAACGTAAATCATGTTTATTGGAGGTCTAACTAATCTTGGATCAAATTTTTACAATATTGATTATAATTGTAAGCATAAAATAGTACTATAAATAAGAGCAACAAGTGTGATCTTCATTCGGTACAAGGAAAGCATTATGTCTTGTGAAAGTCACCCCTTCGAGAGCATCGATTACATGGACGCCGCTATGTATGAAGCCGCTGAAAGAGGCGACATTGAAGTATTCCACAGCCGTGCAAGGTTTGAACTTGAGCCGCTACGGACCAATACTGAAGGTCAAACTCTACTGCACGTAGCCGCAAGGCATGGACATTCTGCTGTCGTGAAATTTCTCATTGACTTTCAGGCAGGGACGGCCCGGTTGGACTTAGAAGAGCAGGAAACTGGAGGGGATGCTGAGAGGAGGATGCTTAGAAAGACAGATCATGAATCCAACACGCCTTTACACATAGCAGTTCAGTATGGTCATGGAGGAACTTGACAAAGGAAAGAGATGAAGATGGTCACACTCCTCTTCATTATGCTGCACACTTGGGTTACTCTTGTGTAGTGGAAGAGTTGTTAAAATGGGACAAATCTGCTGCCTATGTGACTGATAAAAAGTGAGAGATTACACCCCTCCTCATGGCAGCCAGGCAAGGCCATGAACATATAGTAACTAAGATCCTCTCTGTTTGTTCAGATTGTTGTGAAAAAGTAGACAAAATAGGTTGGAATTTACTGCATTTTGTGGCGCTTAGAAATTCTCCTTTTTACTTATGTCGTTCCCTTTTCAAATACGGCATTGTTGCCTCTCAATGCCGATCAGTCGGAAATTTGATCGATGCGAAAGATGTCCATGGAATCACACCTCAACAGGTTTATGATGCATCTTCTTTCAATGTGTTTGATGGATGGAAGATCTATAGCTATAAGCCTATCAAGAATATGGTAAGTCTTAACTCTAATTTCATCTTTTGTAGATGATAACATTTGAGTTTTGGCGGTGGTAAATGGTTCATCTGCAGCCTGTGGTTGAACCAGAAAAAGTGAACCGTCTATAGCGACTACAACTCGAATGTTACCATCAACGCATCTCTACCTTTTGTTGTTAATTCACCAGACCAACATGCATAATTGGCTAATGCGGTAGGAAGAAATTGGGAGATTGTTGGAAGATATTGGAAATGTAGTGGCAGAGACAGGTTCGTTCTATTGCCGTGCGAAATGTTAGGTTAGTCCATAAATAAATAGCCCATTTATTTCTTTTTAAATAAATAATAAAACCCAAAAATCAAGTCCATCTTATTAGATAAAAATAGTCCATTACATTAGTTTTTTTACATAGGCCTAAAAATAGCCCACATTTGTTTACAATATATGCATTAAATAATTAAAAAACAAAAAAAAAACAAAAATCCTAATCTAGAAGCCATTGCTCAGTTTTGAAATTGAAGTCACATGTGAGCCTTTATTGCTCAACTACAACTAGAAAGCTAAGTTGAATGAAACAATGTTTCCTTTATTTTAGGTAGTCGGATGTGATAGATCAGAAATAATCGTTGAATGAAACAATGTTTGTCCCCTTTATTTTAGGAAGTCGGATGTGATAGATCATAAATAATTGTTGAATGAAAGCCACATGTTTTGGTGCAATAATTCGATTTAAATTATATTAAATTGAATAAATTCAACAATTTATAAATCATAATAAATAAAAATATAATTCAATTAAAAATGAACTTAAATATTATTAAAAAACATAAATTCGATTTAATAATTATTAGTTATAAAACATAAATTCAACTTCAATTCGATTACATTAGTTTTTTTTTTACATATACCTAAAAATAGCCCACATTTGTTTAAAATATATACATTAAATAAATAAAAAAACAAAAATCCTAATCTAGAAGCCATTGCCGCCGATTTTGCTTCAAAATGAGGGGGGATTTTGCTTACATCATCAATTCATGGCTAAAAGCACAAAACAATATCCATCATTGATTAACCTTGATCCAAAGGCTATGGATGTTTCAATCCAAGTGAAACAAACACAAACATATATGGACCTTGATCAAATAGCCCTCACGAAGCCACGTCATCAATCCACACCAAAGAAACATAAGTAATTTGTTCTTTGGGTTTTAATTGAATTCAATTTAGTTACTAATTTCTTTTCAATTGCCTTGAATCTTTTATTGAATGTGTTTAATTCTTAATATTAAATGTTTATGTGTGAATCTTTTAAAATGATCACATGTTTAATTATAGCATTACACCTTTAAATTTTTAAATCTTCTATTTTAATCATTAATATTAAAATTGAGCATTAGGTTTTTTTAATTAAGCCTTAGATTTTAAGTGTTTTAGTTTTAATTAAAACCTTAATTTAGGTTCCTTAATTAGTAATCAATAAATTTAATAATGTCCTTTTAGGTTTAGTTTCCTTAATAATATTGATTAGAAACATATAAACATAAATTTATAATTAATTAAAAATAATATTTTTTATTCCTAAATATTGGAAGGAATTATTTTAAAATAACTAGACATTCATGTTCAATATTTTTCAAATAAATAAATATTATATCCAGTGATCACCCTAAAAATTAAATAAGTTCACTAATTTTAAATAAAAGAGTATAGATTTTACTTTTATATTTAAATTGCTAAGTACAAGTTGCTTGATTAACGCCAAAGGTTTAGTTTTCGTTCTTTAAATTAAGGAACTTCCTTATTCTTTTCAATAATAATTTGACTAATTTGTCACCTTTAATTTTTTTAGGATTTAATAATTGGTTAATTCTTTAATTTTAAGGATGACAATATTTCATTATTTTGATTAAAACATAAGAAATAATTGTTTTAATTCCAATTAGGGATTATTTTATTCTTTAATTAGAAATAATAAATATTATGTGTATCTCTAAAATTCTAAAATTGTAGGAAATAAAAAGATTATTAAATAAATAAATAATCGGGTAAACTCGTTTTCAAAGTACATGTGCCACGTTAAACACTTGAATGATGGAAAACTCGACATTATTATTACTCAACATTTCCGGTAATACTAAACTAACTTTGTTAAATATCTTATTATATTTCCGATAACATCATATATTAATTGTATATTAGTCCGCCTTCTAGACAAATCGACACATTTAACATGTGCATTGCAAGCGTTATTAATAATAGCAGCCAGGGAAAGGCAAAAGCCTTGTGAATCTCATCCCTCAGTTCTTACACAGCAGCATTGTCTTCTGATAATCACCCCGTAGATGTGGACGCTGCTTTGTATGATGCTGCAGAAAGAGGCGACATTGACGTATTCCACCGCAATCGTGCAAGGTTTGAACTTGAGCCGCTGCGGACCAATTGTAAAGGTCAAACTCTATTGCACGTTGCAGCAAGGCATGGACATTCCACCGTTGTGGAATTTCTCATCAAGTTTCAGGCAGAGACTGCCCATGGGGACGTAGAACAACAGGGAACTGGAGAGGATGCAGTGAGGAGGATGCTTAGAGAGATGGATAATGAATTTAACACGGCTTTACATATAGCAGTTCAGTATGGTCATCTAGGTGTGGTGCAAAAATTGGTGGAGTCTGAAGATCCTGATTTTCCGTATTCAATCAACGGAAAGCAAGAGAGTGTACTTTACATTGCGGCCAGGAGAGGAGATGGGCCCCTGCTGGATATGATTTTACAAAATTGAAATCAGTTGCTCATGACGGTCCCCGCGGTAGAACAGCCTTGCACGCAGCGGCTATGGCCGGAGATGCAGGTAATTATTTTACTCATCGTCATTGTCTTTGTTTTTCACCCTTCCTTTTGTTTATTGGGTTTTTTTTCTCTTGTATTTAGATGCAACAAGAGTAATATTAGAGAGGAGGGAACTTGACAAAGGAAAGAGATGTAGATGGTCACACTCCTCTTCATTATGCTGCACACTTGGGTCACTCTCGTGTAGTGGAAGAGTTGTTAAAATGGGATAAATCTGCTGCCTATGTAAGTGATAAGAAGAGGGAGATGACACCCCTCCTTATGGCAGCTAGGCAAGGCTATGGAGAAATAGTTACCAAGATTCTATCTTCTTGTCCAGATTGTTGTGAAAAGTAGACAAAATAGGTTGGAATTTACTACATTTTGTAGCATTTAGAAATTCTCCTTCTAGCTTAAGTGATTATGTTTTCAAGGATGGTATTGATGCTCCTCAAAATCAATCAGTTGAAAACTTAATCGGTGCAAAAGATGTCCATGGAATCACACCTCAACAGGTTTATTGTGCATCTTTCAATGCGTTTGTGGCATCGATGAGCTCTAAGCCTTCCAAGAATATTGTAAGTCCTAAACCTTTGTTATTATTTTCACCCAACCAAGAAACAACCTATAATTGGGTAATGTGGCAGGAACAAATCGTGAAGTTGTTGGAACATATTGGAAATGAAGTAGTTGCAGAGGCTCCGGTTTGTCCGATTGACCTGCCTGGTGACAATAGGGATCTTTTTGAAAAGGTAAGAGAAGGTCATTTAATAGTGGCAGCACTTATAGCCACCGTCACATTTGCAGCAGCAATGACTGTTCCAGGTGGTTATAAGAGTGAACAAGGCAAAGAACAGGGCACTCCTTTTCTGATTCACGATGCTGCCTTCAAAGCATTTGTTGTATCAGATGCATTGGCCCTTATTTTCTCTCTTTCTGCTGTCGTCGTCCATTTAGACGTGTTTATTCCTTTTCCGAATCAGCGTAATCCATCATCACTTTCATTGGCCGGTTTGCTTCTTTATAATGCAATGGCTGCAATCATGGTTGCTTTTAGCACAGGCACTTATGTGGTGTTGAAACCTTCCCCTGGCCTTGCTATTACTTCATGTTGCAACGGCCTTCTCTCTTCTTCGTTTTTATATTTGAAGCAGTTAGAGTCGATGGCGACAGAGTCGATGGTGACAGAGTCGAGGGCCGCAGAGTTGACCAGGGGCGTCATCAGATATTTGACCAAGGAAATGCGAAAAATAGTAGGAAGACAATAAATTTTAGATTAAATTACAAATTTAATCACTAAACCGTTATCTATCTCGTATTTGCTTACTGAACTTTAGAAGTTTTCAATTTTCTCACCAAACTTAATACATTAAATTTTTTATCACTGAACTTTACTCTCATATTTTGGTTACTCATTCGTTAAATAGTTAATGGTGTTAAAAATGGTATTTTAAAAAAATAAAATTTTCATCAAAACATCGCTTACGTCCATATAAACGTCGTTAACTATTTAACGAATGAGTGTACAAAAAACTCAATGTATTAAGTTCAGTAAAGAAATTTAAAAGATTTAAAGCACAATAAGTGAAATAAGACAGAGAGTAAAATTCATTTACCAAATTTGTAATATACCCTAAATTTTAAATATAATTAATTGAAAGGAAGAATAGTGGTATGTGTAAAATGATTATTTCAATTTAGAAGTGAAATAACTAAAAAATAAGGGAGAAATGTGAGTTAATACAAATTGTTTTTTCAAATTTTAATTTTCTTTTTTCTAATTTTTTCAACCCAACCAAACAATGAATGAATTTTCTTTTAATTTTTCCATCCTACCAAGCATACTAATGGAAATAAGAAGAAAAAAAATCATCTTTACACTTGTCTACCCATTTGATTTTTTCATAATTCTAATTTTCTTTCCATCTTACCAAACAAAGTCTAAAAGTTTTTTTTTTGGGGGGGGGTTATTTGTAGATTAATTATTGGAGCAGTAGCATTCAATTAAAATTAATAATCTTATAATAATCACAAGCATACATGTGACTGATTCAGTGCAAGCAACACTAGTGTCGAAAAACATTAAGCATAGTGGGATCAATCAACTTCTCCATACAAAAACAACCAGAGAAGTAAAGTACTAACTGCCAAGATTAGAGATTTCACTGTTGTTTCTCACCCTCAGGTTTGGAAGCTTCTTTGATTTCATTTGTTCCATCCTCCTAAATGCATAAAACGAATAACATTTATAAATCGGTCGCTGCATATAAGTTGAAATAGAAAATGAATGTGTGTGTGTGTGTGTTCAAACCTGCATATCGGTCGTCCACAGAGTGAGGTTATCACGAAGAAGTTGCATTATCAAAGTGCTGTCCTTGTATGAATCCTCTCCAAGAGTATCCAGCTCTGCGATGGCTTCATCAAAAGCCTGAGGCAAAGAAAGAAAGCATGTTAACTAAATAGAATTTGACGACAAATTATCGAGCATGGATACTTTTGGAAGATCATACTCTCATACATCATACTTGCATTTAAATATGTTGGGCACAGATACTTTTGGAAAAATGGACAGTACAGGTATAACAATGCTAATACAATTCAAGAGTATAAAACCCTCCCCAATGTTTTAGATAAACAAGATGAATACAGTGACTCAGCTAAAATTCTGGAGCTTTTGCTATCTTACCTGTTTCGCAAGACTGCAAGCACGATCAGGAGAATTCAAGATCTCGTAGTAGAACACTGAAAAGTTCAGAGCCAATCCTAAACGAATAGGGTGAGTTGGGGCGAGCTCAGAAGTTGCAATGTCCTGAAACGAAGGGTGGAAGAAAAGGATGCAGATAAAACAGCAATAAAGACACAAGTCATAATCACTATAGTAAACTTCTGATTGAACAGAAGAAAGCAATAATAGAACAATCAAATCAAACCCAAAAGGCAATGCGTAACAAGAAAAGGAAAGGATCAATAAACTGAACCAGCTCATATTACAATGTCTGAAATCGATTAATCAAATCACCAAAGAAACTTTGAAGTTTATGGGTTGAGGAAGCTAGGAGGGGTTTTTCTTGTTCAGAATTACAGATACGAACAAAATTTTACTTTGCCCCAACAAGAAATTAGCTCCTCCCTTATATCAGACTATAATATTAATTCAAAAGCCATATTGTTGAGATCATTTTCTTCTTGACAATTTTCATAAATTTTATATTGTGATTAAATCCTATGTCTTCCAATGCTCATATTTCCTAAGCAATTCGAAGCAGATCCAGATCTTAGCAGAGAAAAATTATATCAAATCAAGGCAAGGAAATGCATAAAATTACTGTAATGAGCACAAACCAGAGCAGATTTATACGCAGAGAGCGTATTCTCCGCAGCAGCTTTCCTGTCATCGCCAGTCCTGAACTCAGCCAAGTATCTATGGTAATCTCCCTTCATCTTCAGATAAAAGACCTTCGAATCACCGTTCCCGGCGGCTGGAACGAGTTTCTCGTCCAGAAGCTTCAAAATTCCGGCACAAATCTCTGATAGCTCGGCCTCGATCTTGACCCTGTACTCGCGGATGATAGAGACATGATCGGCGTTGCCACGTCCTTCCTCTTTCTGTTCGATAGAGGAAACGATCCTCCAGGAGGCACGGCGGGCGCCGATCACGTTCTTGTACGCAACGGATAGCAAGTTGCGTTCCTCCACGGTGAGTTCGTCGGGGTCGGGGGCGGCGACGGAGGAGACAACGGCTTCCATGAACTTGACCATCTCCTCGTAGCGCTCGGCTTGCTCCGCAAGTTTCGCCTTGTAGACATTTTCCTCGCGTTGTGAATTGGTGGCCATGATTGAGGGATGTTTGAATGGAATGAAAATGAGAGGATTTTTCAGAGGGATGGAAGATCTGAGAGATTGGAATAAAGGGAAAGCAACTTCACTAATTTTGGCCTTTAACCAAGGATAAACTACCTGTTAGTTAGTCAACTTTCAGATCATTTTTAATTTAGTCATAAAACTATAAAAGTTTTCAATTTGATCATTATTATTTTTTTTAAATCACACTTTAATTCTTAACTCCGTTTTTAATTTAGGGATATTTGGTTCACGGAAAAGATTATTACCAGGGAATACTATTCTCAATAATAACATTTTTGGTTAAAATGGTGAGAATATCATTTACTTCCAAGTTCTTAGGTATTACACAATTCTCACCGCTTTGGACAAAAATACCCTTCGACTAATGAATTCTTTTTATAATGATCCTTCTCGATTCTTACTTTTTTTTTGTTTTTAATCAAAACTATAAACATAGTAATAATATATAAAGAGTTTGAATTACTAAAATATTAATAAATTTGAGAATTTAAAAATATTTAATATATTAATTATTTATAATTCTATGGGATAAAAAGTATAATATTATTGTAAAAATTTAATTATTTAAAATAATATTTAACTTTTAGTTATTAAAAACAAAAATAAATTCTATATATTGAAAAACAATAGCTTTGTCCACTTTAAATCATAATATTATTTTTGCATATCATTATATTTTATATAAATAAATATGATATTTAAGAAAATTATTTAAAAATATAAATTTAATATACTAATTATATTAATTATATAAGAAATGTATTTTTTTATCAAAAGTTATATAGTATAACTATTAAAATGTTTTTATAAATTTTCATTTAAATTTTTATAATTTAATATTAAAGTTTAACTTTAAAAAAACATATATCACAAGGATAATTTGGTAAAATATGCATACAAATATTCTTATATTCCTCAACCAAACATTGTAATCTTACATTCATGTTAAACAAACCAAACAAGGTAATACAACATTCCTATAATGTTACATCCCAATAATATTATTCTCAAAAGTAATCTTACATTCTATGAACCAAACGCTATAAGAAAAACCCTTATACTTTTATACTCAAAATCGTAAATACAATTTTTTTTGGATACCTTTGATTTACTACGTCATTTTCCTTCAAATCATAATAACCAAGAGACCAAGATAATACAACATTCCTATAATAATGTTACATTTCAGTAAAATTGCTTTTGAAAATAATTTTACAATTCGTAAACCAAACTCCCTAAATATCCCATACACTTTTCTACTCAAAATCGCAAATACATTTTTTTTGGATACCTTTTAATTTATGACGTCATTTTATTTTAAATCATAATAATGGATATACCAAGATAGAGAAAAAAAAGTAATATATTTTTATCTATATTAATAAAATGTTGGATATTATACATCAACCAAGATAAAATTGAAGTTTTGCTTTAATTTTGATTGATTTTCAATAGTATTTTAAAAATAAAATAAAGAAGAAAAATATTATAGTATCAATTACGCACATAAAGACTTAATGACGATTGGACGATTAAAAAGAAGGAAACCAACTACGAGAGCTAAAAGACTAATAAAGAATCTAAAATAATATAGCAGGGTAAAAGGATAACTTTTGCTAGTAGATTAAATTTTTTATTTTTATATTTATCGTATTTTCATATTAATTTAGTTTTTAAAGTGTTTAATTATATCATTTTATATTTTACTCTTCATTTAAAACCGTAAATTGAAAGTTTTAAATGAAATATTAAAGTTTAGGGTTTAATGTTCAAAGGTTATGAGATTATGGTTTAAGATTTAAAACCCTTAATTCGTATATTAATTTAAAAAATAAAGATCCAAAACGTAAGGTTAATATTCTCCTCGACATGTAAATGGAAGGATATTACGCATTTGAACATGCTTAATTTTACTTTTTTATGTAATATATTAATAATGATGTCAATTAAATTATATTCAATCGTGACTATATAATATTTATTAAATAATCTTGAATCGAATTACATAAATTAATCGATTGTGAATTGTGATTGACGATAGTGACTGGTATAGAAATTTTCTTAACGAATCTGATGTTTGGAGTCTTATTTACAGTAAAAAATTTAAAATTGATTTTAAAATTGGGTAAATGATGCAGATGGCCACTGAACGATTAGAATATATTTACTTTTTTTTGGATAAATCAATTCAATTTTATATCCAAAAGAGCAGTAAAACTGCTTCAAAACTCTGAAAGTTCTTACATAAAAATCAACACTTACAACACTATATAACAGAACTGAAAACATCAATGTTCAATACCCCATTGATTACAAAGAGTATTATTGACATAGTGTAGACACTCATTTTCATCTATATTTTAATTTTTATTTTATACATATATATCTATATCTATATATATAATATAGTTTTTAAAACCCAATTTTTGAAATACATATAATATATAGTTTTTAAAAATAATTTTTTGAAATTATATATTATATGATTTTAAAACATTTATTTACTTGTTATTATTATTAATATTTTTATTTTATTTTTATTTTTTGTAGGCCCCATACACTACCCACCATTATCTCCACCACTTTTACCACAAATCACGTGGGTTTTGTTTTTCATGGGAGTTGTGGACCACTCCCTCAAGCTCATTGCTCTCCACTTTCAAATGACTTTTAGCATTTTGTTTAATTTAAAAGGGGACCTGCACGAAGGAAAAGGAGGAGGGGGGATTGAATTCCTCTCATCTCAACTCACGCCATTTCAAGATTATGGGGGGAAGGGATACATGCACTTCTTCCTCAATTTCTTTTTCACTTAATTTCTTTGCTCAAACCCACTTCCAATCACAAAAAAACAAGAACCCACTATCACCATCTCTGGATTTCTTTCAGGCACCAAACTACGCATTGCTCCTTTTCCTCGGGGAATATAAAGAGATGGGTAGCCAAGCCCTTGCAACTAATGATCGTACGAGGACATACTGGACACCCGTTTCTGATCGATTGTCAACCTCCTCACCGAGTGGTGGTTCCCCCTTCGCAACTGTTTTTCAAGTCAATGGCAACACTCTCTCGCTTGCCCTCTTCACCGACGCCACCAATTCCAAGGAACTCCTGGACTCTATGCAAGCTGGGACACTAAATCATGAAGTAGCATTTCTTAATGCATCACTTATTCCAGATGTTTTTCCTGTTCTAGCTGCTACACATAAGACGCTTATTTCCAAGTCGCGCGAGTCATTGACTACACGAACTCTTCATTCCAACTCGATTTAACGCTTCTTCTGATGAGATGAAAGCCGTGGAGAAGCTTATCGGTGGAAAAGAGGAGATAAAAAATCATATTATGAGGCAGAAAGTTTTGCTGCGAGAATTGATGGCTTTGATCCATACCAGGTATTTTTTTTATTATTGTTATGGAATTTGAATCTGCGTGGAGGAACCGAGGAGCACAATATTGCTATAATTTTAAATAATTTCCAGCTTTTGTTGTAGCTTGTGGAGTTTGATTTGATGACTCTGTTAATTAGATTCAAATATGAAACCTCTTAAGTGGAGTTGCTGAAGGATCTGTTAGAGATAAGGATTGTAATACTGTCAGTGGTCATTTTTGAAACATATATTCATTTTAAGCTCATGGAGAAACTTGTTACTTATGCATTTCCCATGAACTTTTGAAAGCATTGATTGGTTTTTTGGATGTCGTTGGACTTTATTTTGCCTTAACACAGTTGACACACAGGAGTCTCTCTCAAAATCATAAATTTCAAGCTGTTGGACTTGGTTGGACTTGGAATTATGTGCTTCCAATTTAAAATATATATATACACGTATATTTTACAACTTATCTATGACGCAGCTTCAAGAGTTTGTGTTTTGTCGAATTAAAATTTGTGTTTATTGATTCTTTGGTGATTACTGGTTTTCCATATTTGTGGTTCAGATGGTGCAATCATCGTATGGTAGGTGTCAGTAAATATTTTATTTAATCGGATTAATCAATTAAATATATCAGATTTAATTTAATCTTTTTATTTATTTGATCTTCACGATTAAATTATATTTTTTAGGTAATTTCTAATTTCTAATTATTTTATTTTACCATCTAACATCTTCTTGACTTTTTCAGTAGCAATTTCAATTGGTCAGAGGTAATTAATTCAAATTGAATTTTTAAATTTTAATTTTAATTTTAATTTTCGCTACTAAGATAACCGAAAAATTAATTGGTACCGAAAGGGCGGTTCAAGGGTGCTAATCCTTCCTTCACCGTAACCGACTCCCGAACCCGACACATCTCTGGTAAAACGCAGATCAGGTAAGATGGTTTCCGACCTACCTAAACGTTTTTAAAATGGTCGGTGGCGACTCTAACCCAATTCATTCAAGTCGAAGCCCAATTTCGGGGCCCAACCGAAAGACGGTCGCGACAGCTTGGCGACTCTGCCGGGGACAGGTAAGTGAGTCAGGCCGAAATTAATTTTCGGTTGTCTTTTTATGCGAAAATGGTAAATTTAAATTTATTTATTCGATTCCAGTTATTTACCTTTGATTATTTTTCAAATAAATAGTTGTACTAACATTTTTTAATGATTTTAGATTTTTCAAAGTTTTCATCTCAAGCTCTATACCCGAGCTCCAAACCCTATTTAAGTGGGGGTGAAAGCGACGCCTTCGTGTGAATTTATTCACCGTGCGGGCCTAGCAAGTAGCCTTCGGGATTCATATACCTTATGTCTTCGTGTGGATTTATTCACCGTGCGGGCATAAGGGAATGTGTCCTCTCGAGTTTAACTTAGTTCACACAAGCCTGTGATGGGCTTAGGACTAAGGGTCTGGTAAGCCCAAGGGGCACCAGCAAGGAGAACTCGAGTACCTTTTTAGAACCTAAACCTGGAGACTTTGAAGGAGTTAGAGCCCACCCCAAAACCTCATTTCAAACCCTAGGATGCCGGAATTATTTCTTGCTTTACTTTCTGTTCAAAGCATGTGAACTAGAAATTTATGCGGTTAGGACTTGTTTAAAATCAACTTGCGGGATAGAGATCAT